ACAATGTTAACACTTTCAGCCCTTTAATCACCGCAGATACAGCTGTCGGCTGGAGAGAAATGTTGTTATAACTTTCCGGTGTCCAGGCTTCCTTATACTGCACCAGGTATCCCAAGAGTTTTCCCGTTGCGTCTTTTTCACTTATGGGAGACCATGAAATCATAATACTAGTAGGATTGGTGCTGTAAGCAGTTATGTTGTCAGGAGGTTTAGTGGGAACTGTGGATGGATAAAAGAGTAGCTATCAATCATTGGTCTAAAAGCAAAATTTAAACTTTTTTTCGAGAACACGTCTTTTTGTCCATTTCGTAAAGATACTGTGAAAAGAACTGAATTCAGCTTTTTTTGTCTTTGCATGTAGTGTTGAACACTGGGTTACTGCAATGTTTGTTTGCGTCTCGGAGGGTACTCCCCAAAGTTTTTGTTAGGGGTGGACGGCTCGAACCTTGAAACCTGTACCCTATTTCAGCCCAAAATCTATGATAGCTCATACTCATTTTTATGCCTGAGCGAAAAATCGATACCCTAGACCTCTGAAATTAGTACACGGTTCTAATATATGACTGCAGCTATCAAGAAATGGCTTCCACTTGCGTTAACATTTGAAAAGGGCTACAAATTTGCCAATGTTGATGTGGAAAAAAAATAGTTCCTTATAGACAAAATACCCAATGCATTGCCAGGAGCCCACCCACAATGCCAAGCCAGAGTGAAAAACATACCTTTTTTGGACCAAAACCGCTCAAAAACCATACTCTTTTGAGGTCGCACATACTCATACAGCCCACCTAAGGAAGTACTTCCCCGGGGTGGAGGATTGCTTTATCCGTCTCAGCCTTAGCTGTTGTTTGTTTTTAAACTAAATTAAATACATACTTTTTGAAAGGAAAATCATAGAATTCACGGCAACTTTAATAGTGAAAAACTCACCATCTTCCCTTGTTCGAAGTAGAACAACACTGCTGCTTCTCATTGCAATTGTACGATTGGTCTGCCCTTTGACCAGGGCCACGACTTGAACCTGATACTCTGTATAAGGCTTAAGCGTTCCCACCAATACATTTGAAGAGGAAGCGTTAGCTGTAGCTAGACGCGATGCGTCATTTATTCCAGTAGCAGTACAAACAGCCACGAAAACAAACAAATCCTGAACCGATATGGCATGTGTCACGCTGGACCATATTACTGATATTGTTGTTGAGGTAATGCTCTCGGCAGTAATGTTCCAACCATTTAAGCGAGGGGCTATAGTTGGAGAAAATCAAATGGACGAGGTTTAGTCCATTCGTGTTAGAAAGATATCTTAAGGGTATTACTATTTCTAGATATGATGCTTTCATTTTCTATAATATTATCTTCCTCTTGACACGGCAATTTACCATTGTGTAAGACTGACGTTTCACAGTCGTTTGGAAGATCCCCAGAAGATCTAGCTAGCTTCTCGAAATATTCTAGCAAGCCCTCTGTTACCGTATCGAGTATATCTCTTCGACATTTACTTCCGGTTACCTTGACAAATGAAGAAAATACTCTCTTACGTATAATTTTTAATTACTTAATGTGCTTATCTCTAAGAGATTGAACACTTTTAATTAAATCAAGTGACATCACAGCTTCACTATCAACAGTTTTCTTTAGCAAGCCTTCCTGTCGTCGTGGCTCTACAACCAAAATACGGTTAAGGGCTGTTTTAGGCAGAAGCTGATTATGCGGGTAGAGTTCAATTCCTTTCATTGGTAACAGTAAAAACGTTAATAATTCTGGTCTTCAAGATTGTATCTTATGGAGACGTGATTGACCATCGCAGTTAAATACAAAGTTTGAGCAGCTGTGAATAGAACAACTGTGTCACAGCTGCTCAACTGTGTATATAACTGTGACGATCAATCATGTCTTCTTATCTTTCTCTGCGGTTCAAATATATGATCTTTCATATATTCCCTTGTATCTTCGCCATCACGGGTATATACACCGATTCCAGAAAAAAAACCGGAAGTTGCACCAAAACGAGGCTTAATAGCCCTCGCGGTAAAAGCAACATGGCGAACGAAGAAGAAAGGCCAATCTCTCTTCTGATGATATTCCCGGCGTCAGTGTGAGC